CCCAGGTCAGCGGCATGTTTCAGATGCGGGAAGGAGGGGCACTGAGCTGCCGATTGCTTTTCCAAGCCTGGCCCAAAACCGACCTCGGCTGGAGGAAAGAGGGCCAAGAAGCAACCAGCAAAATATCACGAAACAGCTTTGAAAGGTGTGGAAATCATTGAGTTCACTCCTCCTGGCCTGGAGGAGTTGGGAACTCCAGCCACCCCAGGGGAAAGTGAAACTGACTCTGCCGACGACCCCCTGATATGTCCGCATGTGGGCCTCATGACCATCCCAGTAGAGTTAACAGTGATTTCAACTGGCACCCAAGGGAAGATGCTAGCCCTCTTAGACTCGGGTTGCATCAGGTGCATCATTAGCCCAGAGGTGGTGGAGAAAATGGAACTATGATTGAGGACAATGAAAGTGCCCATTGAGAATTAGGTAAAGAACAAGAAGAAAGGGCACTAAAAGAAGGAGCAAGAGCAAAAGAGATGAAAGAACAAAAGGAGATGAGAATGACTAGATCAACTAAACCTATAAACAACTAAGACATGGAAGAAGAAATAAAAATAATCTCATTAAACATAAATGGACTAAATTTGAGCATAAAAAGGAAAAGGACATTTAATAAATTAGGAAAATTGAAACTAGATATAATATGCCTGCAAGAAGTACATTTCCAAAAACAACACAAAAATATTTGGACTATCCAAAATTGGGGAAGCTGTACATGACACTTGCAGTTCAAAGCAAAAAAGGTGTGGCACTATATATTAAAAAGTCAATACAATCAAAGCAAGCATTTGAAAATGAAGAGGGAAGAATACTGATAGTGGAAATAATGATGAACTCTAAAAAAATATTGATGGTAGCAATATATGTGCCAAATGAGAATCAAGAAGAATTTTATGAAAAACTACATAAAAAGATAATAGAATATGAATACAAAGAAATATGCATATTAGGGGACTTTAATGCGATTGTAAATAATGAGTTGGATTATAAAACTACAAAGTTGAACAAGAAGCTAAGGAGAACGCTTCCTAAAGCATTCTTTACAATGATGGATGAACTAGCTTACAAGATGTGTGGAGAAGATGACACTTGAGAGAAAAGCAATATACATTTTACTCAAATAGACATATGTCGTGGTCAAGAATAGACAGGATTTGGATGACAATAGATCTAATTGCTAAAACACATAAGATTGATATAGAAACAAGCATATGGGCAGACCACAACCCAATAATAACAACATGGAAAGAATGTGCAGAATGTGTGGGATACCAGCAAAGCATATACTAGAGGACTAGTAATGACTTATCTATGAAAACGGAACAAACAGAATAGACAAACATGAAAAAAGATAGAGGAAGAACATAGGAGATTGGAGATAGAACTACAAAGAAACACACACAATACTAAAATCAAAAATTTGATGGATCTACAAAAACAAATTGAATTTAATGGAAAATGAAGAAGTGGCAAATAAAATAAAATTAACAAGACAAAATTTCTTTGAAAATGCAAAGAAACCAGAACTATGGCTGGCATACAACATGAAAAAAGAGAAAGAAAAAATAAGATGTGTTTAAGCAATATCATGCTGGAAGTATTTAAGGAGTTGTTATTGAAAGCAAAAATCCCAGACTCTTGGTCAGAGGCCTGTATAACTCTTATCACAAAAGAAGAATCAGATTTTCAGCAAATAAAAAAAAACTATAGACCAATTTCTTTATTAAATGTGGATTATAAAATCTTTGCATAGATAATGGTGGAAAGACTCAAAAGACTGTTACGTGAATTTATACACTCAGACCAAAATGGTTTTCTACCCAAGAGACAGATCAGAGACAATATGCGGATTATACTGAATGCATTAGAACCATGATGGTGAACCTATGGTGGCACGCGGAACCATTTCCTATGGCACGCGAGGCGTTGCCCTGTCAGTTCCAGTGCGCATGCGCGTGCTGACCTGCTGATTTTTGGCCTTCATTTTTGGCCATTTCCCCCCCTTTACTCTGGAGGGCGAAAAACAACCCAACACGCAAACCGGAAGTTCGTAAACGGACTTGCGATTTGCACATTGTGTCATTTTTCTCCGGAGGCTTCAGGACGGGGTCTAGGACTAGAAAGGACAATTAATATAAATCCAATGAAAGGAAAGAGGTGTAAAAGACTTCCTCCCTCTCTCTGTNCCCCGGTCAAAGGTGTCCCTCTTTACCAATCTGAAAATCTGGTCACCTTACTAATGGATTCCCTTTCTGGGATTGCAGCATTTGCTGCAAACATCTTTCTGGACATTTTCATATGCATAATGTCATTTCATACAGTTCTACCTGTGTGGGATGAGGGGAGGGGGGTTGAGACACCCCCCCCAGCTTTCTTTCTCTCTCTGAGAGAATGACTTTAATGTTTCCATTATTATTATTTTTTGCTAAGTATAGTTACAGAGAACACGCTCACTCTGAGAAGCTTTTGGGGCACGACTAACAGTTCCTCTTCCATTTCGGGTCCTTCACATTTATCCTGCCTCTTCCTTGGGGACTTTGTTATGCAACTGTGGTTGAAATTGATAATTCCAAAGTGCTTCATTTAGGGGTTCCTTTTCTTCTTTATAACCTCATAGGAAAGTTGTCTCTAATTTCAGCACTACTTGTCACTCCATTATGATGCAAACTTTTTTGACATATTCTTAAGAACACAGGAAGCATGATCCTGAAACTGAAAACAAATTCCTGATTTCTGGATGTGCTTGGAAGGACTCTATTATTAGCCAATTTCTCCCTTTCAGAATCACTACGAATCTCCACCCGCCAGCCTGCCGCCTTGCTGCGAATCTGCAGCATTCAGCCAAGGGGTCCCCTTCAACGTGGAACCAGTGGTGGGCTGCTGCCGGTTTGGACCGGTTCAGGCGAACCGGTAGTTCTGACAATCAGCTGGCCACGCCCCCACCCTATCCTGTCCTATATTTCCTTCTTTCTGGCTCAGCTGATTCACACGTCACGGCTGATTTCCATGCTTCTGCTGTTCTTCTTACCAGGGCTGTCTTAGAAAGTAAGCAGCTGAGCTTCAAACTGCTGTAGTTTGAATGCTGCGTGCAAGTGCGTTAGGTGCGTGTGTGTGCGCAAAGCGCACGATCACCAAACCGGTTGTTAAACTGGTTGCAGCCCACCACTGCATGGAACGCCTGGAAGACAGCAGCTTTGCCATCCCAGTCCCCTGCATGGACACAAAGTACAGCGGGTTGCATTATTCTGCTTCTTGCCAGGGGAAATAACACATTTGCCCACATGCTTTTGTCAGACATGATGTGATGACCCAGGGCATGGCACAGAGATAACACAAACAGCTGGCAGTTCAAATGGGCCCCTTTATTGCTCCAAATCTCCCCAAACGCTCACACATTTCTGAAAAGTCCCAGAGCAGAGTGAGAACTAACCCCCACACAAACCTCAAGCAGCCTCTGACTGCAATTAGTCCAGCCCAGCACTCTCTGCAGAGCTGAGCAGGCAGAAGGGGAAGCTGAAGCCCTGGCTAACCCAGAATTGGTCCTGGGAACTCAACCAGGCCCAGCACAGGCAGCCAGAGCTCAGGCTGCGGTGGCAGTTCAGCCCCCCCCCCCAGGGGGGGGGTGTAGCAGGCACCTGTCAGCCTCTGCTTCGCTTACTTACTATCGGCTGCCATAGAAACGGGGAGGGTGGGGGCATGGTGTTTGGGATGGGAATAAATGGTACAGGAGTGAATGGAAACGGGAGTTTTCTTCTCACTATCTTCTGCGCATGCTGGTGGCCAGTGTTTGGACTTGGTCAAGGCCAACTATCCTGCATACCAACCTGATGCCTTTTGGAGATGCACCCCACATGACACCTAAAGGAGTTGCAGATTGGACACTGGGGTAGGGTTGTTGGAGGGAGGGGGCTGGGTTATCATTTGATATGTATATGTTCGTGCCTTCCTGGCTCAGATCTTGCTTTACTTTCGCAGCTATCTTTTCATAACCAGTAAAAGTATTTTAATTCCACGAACAATGGAGTTAGGAGTTTTCTTTCTTTGTTATTGAGGGAGGCATGCCTGACATTGCCGAATCCCAAAGATTCCTCCATTAGGAGTGAAATATGGAGAGGATCCCAAAGCTCTGGGATTCTTCTTACCTCAAGTCTGGAACTACATGCAGGAGTATGGGGAGGACTTTGTTTCAGAAGCAGCAAAAGTGAGATGTGTTACCATGGTGTTGGAGGGTGCCGCAGCTGAGTGGATGGTGGCCCTTCACAACGAAGATTCCCCACAACTGAGAGATTATGATGGCTTTATGACAGCCCTAAGGGTACGTTTTGAAGACCCCCTGGCTGAGAGGAAGGCTAGGACCAGGATGAAATCTTTAAACCCGGGGTGGAGATCGGTGGCAGAATACCCCCAGGAGTTTCGCGAGCTGGCTTGCTACATGCGGTGATGTTCCCAGGAAGCTCTAGTGGAATGCTACAAAGATGGCCTTAACGAGGATGTCTACCAGCACTGTGTNCAAGGGTGTCCCTCTTTTCCAATCTGAAAATCTGGTCACCTTAGGTATGAAGGCAGATAGAACTGTGAGACTGCATTTATCTACTAAACACTGTTTTAAATATCTAACAAGGTAGACTTCATGGAGAACCATTCCAGCATTTTTTGTGGAATACTAAAACAAAGGATACTATCACCTGAATTGGTATACTTTGTGTTGAATAATTTCCTATATTCAAGTTCCTTCCATAAATTACAACTTTTATGGGAGGCAAATTTATTTCCAATTATATTATTGTCAATTTCCTTTTTTACTCATCTTTCTTAAATGGCTACAGAACGTTAAAAATATAAAATAGTGCTCTGTTTAGGACAATTTTGTACTACTTTACTCAAAAGAAACAAATTTAAAATATGCCCAAAAAGGAAAATTCAAATTTGTTTAATATACAAGTCCATACATTCTAAAGGTAATATGTGGAACATAACCATAGTGGATTAACATGTTATCCTACCTTGTCCTTTAATCCCAAAAGGTGGAAGAAAATCCCGAATCCTTGCCCATTTCCTGAAGGAATCATCCAAAAACATTGGTGCTGGCTTGGAGAATCTATAAATATAATGAAAAAGAATGCTTTTATAAAAGAAAAGAAAGTGAAAACCAAAGCTTCAAGGAAAAGAAAGAGTTTTACAATCTAAGTGTGGTATCAAGTAAAAAATTCATGCTCTATTCAACATTATCCTGGCAATGAGTGCGAGTAAGCATTTTAATATTATTTAGAGCAAATAGGCAATTCAAAGTCTACAATGGTGGTACTCACCTAATCAGGAGCAATACAGAGAATGTATTCACATCATTATATTATACCATAAGTTATTTTAACTGCAATTTGTTGAGCAAGTTATAGTGATCTGGTTCACAGATAATGCTCACAATTGTTCTAAGCTAAGATAAAATTCTATTATCACTTATCATATTTTGTTAGCCGAAATTAAAAGTGCCTAAGAAAGTCTACTGCTTAGAATACAAAGCATTCTTATGTATCAAGTGTATTTACAAGTTTGAATACAAACAAAAGAATGGAGCATATAACAGGTACCCAGCTGTATCAGGACACATTGCAAGGTCAACACCATCCCTCATCATGCTTCCAAATCTACGTCTATGAGAAGTCCCTGCTTCAACTTTTATCTCTACTATGAAATCCACTGTGCAATCATAAACAAATAACTATCACACTCAACCTCCCATCAGTAGGAATCCTATTTCAAGATTCTGATTTGGTTTATAACAAGATAATAAATCACATACTTTCAATATAGCAAAATACTATACACATGGAAAGTATTAGTATTTTAAAATTTCTGACAACAGTAGCCATTTTTGGTGTTTACTGAATTTAGAAGGAAAAACATCAACAGTTTCTACTAGAAACTGCACATCAACCGCACTAGCACATCACCGCAAAATGACTAAAAGAAAACCATACTTTATATAATGTGCCTTGGAAATATTTTCCTCAGGATATAATTGTACAGGCTAAACTTGTTAGCAGTGGTGTGCTCTTCTTCATTCTCTCTCACTCCCACACACATGCTCTCCACAGCATCCTGTTGCTGCTGTTCACATCCTTTCATTTCTTCTTTTTATATAAATAAAGACTAATTGAAGCTTTTAAAAACAAACTTCAGGGCATGTGCTCCAATCATACTATGGAATACATGACAACAATTCCATTGCCCAGACCTTTTCAGAATTGATATGTTCTCATCATTTTAGATACTACAAGGATTTCTGTGCTGTGTGATTGCAATGTTTGCTGAAACCCAACAGCTAATAGGTAACCACTCAATTAATGCTCAATGATTGGTCATGGAACCAGTATATTATTCTGCCGACTCACTTACCCCAGTTTCCCTTCCAACCCGTGAAAACTAAATGTAGTAACTTAAAAATATTTTACTTGCCACCAAGTTGGTAGAGCGAACCTGTATTTTGGCCCCTTTACCTAGACCTGCTGCTCTGTGATTAGACTAGGACTGCAACATGCAAACTTCTAGAGGAAAATACCGCCCATGCAATTATACTGCTTACTGAAGATAGTTCAGGAAAAAAAAACTTTGAAACAACAGAACAAAGAGGATGTGGCAAAGCCCAATGGCAAGGATACATCAATGGCATTGAATGATTGCTAGTAAGTTCCAGGTCTAGTAATGTCCTAAGAAAGAAACCTGGTCAGAAGTGTCTAATTTTCCACAATGTTAAATACCCATTTCAAAGCAATATGTAATGCTAAATCATTAATAGAACAGCAGGATAACTAACTGTGTGCAAAGTTCAAATTGTTGGAAATCCCAAGCATTCTTCTGGAGAAGTTAGTTCAGATGCAGATGACAACAGCACTGGTGAGGATGATATATCTATTCTTGCTCATACATGTTAATATTTAAAATAGCATTTTCTGATTGACAGAAAAAAATAATTAAAGATCAGTATGCCTGCATGGGAAAAAGGATTCCCCTCACTATTTTCCTCCCGACAGCTGTCTCAAGCTTTCTCATCTTAAATCTTACATCAATAATATTAAAGAACCTGAATAGAAAGTTATATTCTGCCACTATGCACCTCTCCCCACTCTTTTTTTACACTAGGCATATATTTACAGCATCCTCTCCAGGAGTCACATTTTCCTATTACATTATTTATCTATATTAATCAAATCTATATGACTAAGGTGACCAGACGTCCCGATTTCAGCGGGACAATCACACTTTATAACAATTTGTCCCGTGTCCCGGGCCATTTTTAAAAAGTCCCGATTTTCTGGCTTCATGTTGAAAGCCCAGTGGATTTGCTTAAAAAATCCTAACCGGGGCAAGACAAAAGACACCCTGTCTAATCCCTCTCTCTCTCTCTCTCTGTCTCAGTACTTTCATTGAAGATATAATTAAAACATTAAAACAACAAAACGGACCCCCCCGCGCCACTTTTACCTCATTTTATAAGAAAAAATGATCTAGTACCACAGAGCTCCAGGAAACACTTGGCTAGAGAGGTAGCGAGTGTTACTTCCTGGATTTTCCAGAGGGGAGGGGCACGGAGGTTGGAGGTCTGCTCGTGTGGAAAAAATGAGCAAAAGTTTCTTTGAAAAATATTTCCCTGACCTTTTTAATTTTCTCAGTTCTTTGTATTAACATCTACATCATTCTGGGTTGACCTGGAGTGCAAGCCTGCTGTAAGTGAGCTGGGTTTTTTTCTTTTATTTTTTTAATGTATTTAAAAATAATATTTTATTTATTGTGCATAGGATTTTTTAAAAATTCTGTGTGGATTCTTTTATTAAATTGTCTTAGACTATTTAAAAGTCACAATAGTTTGATAGGATTTTAATATTTTATTATGTTTCATCATAGGCTGACAAATAATTTAGATTTTGCAGATCCATGTGAGGGTCTTGGATCACCCCCTAGGGGGCTTCAGGCCACACCTCGAGAAGCATTGATCTAAAAGACAGAAAGATCAGAGGGGGAAAAATTCTTTTTGAATTCCTAAAATAATATATGGACACAGTAAACGTGCTCCCATTGTTTAAGTTAATCAGCAACAGATAAAACAGTGGGAAATTAGGGAATTTAAAAAAACATAAAAAGAGATTTAAAAATCAATAACATTTATTGTATCTGAATGGTCGCCTAAACTGTTTTATCTAAAATGTTAAACTGAGTTATAAAAAAGGAAAAACAGAAGGGAGAAGATAAAAATACAATGCGTGAGACTGGCAAACATATGTTCAGAACAAATCTGAATCTTTAATATAATCTCCAAAATCAAGCAACAAAATGAATCCATCTCAAATCATATTCAGGATTAGATTGATTTTTCCCAAAACAATCACAACATCAAGAGATTTATCAGTAAAATGGCTGTTGAGGAATAGATGAACATAGTGAGCAGTTATTGATATCACACTGATTTGTACCTCAGGAGATATTATGTGGAATGTGAAAGAAAAAGATTAATTATGAAAGGGGCTAATATTATGTTATACTTTTCAAAGAGAAAAATAGATCCTTAATGTTTTATTAAATATATTTATTCAATAGAAATATCTTTCATTTCACTAAAAAGCTTTTTAATCATTTTTTAATTAAACAAATCTCATTATTATTGTTACTAATGAATTTTGTCTGTTAGTCAGGTGAGTTGTTTTTCTTTCTTTCCATGTTCTCCTCTAATCCATTCTTTTTCTATGCTGGTCTATTCCTCAGGGATAATGATGTAGGCTGCCTTAATTCTAAAATTGGTAATATCTAGAAGCAGCTTCTCTAGCAACTTTAATATTAGGCCCACAACCAACAGAAGATGGATTATTATAAACAAATCTTTAATAGCCCTAATTGCCTACTAGTCCTCTCAAAGTGAAAAGCTATTTAGTGTTTTGAACAGAACACTGGATTTTTTTCTTTTGCAATGTAGGTTTGTGACCTGACATCAGTGATAATATCTGAGCAAGCCACCAACGTTTAGCCAAATAATGAGAATCATTCATGTTCTTTATTTCTCTGACCATTAAGAAGGAAAAAATGTTCCACAAATGCCTGGCTTGAAAGACCTGAAAGCATATTGAAGTTTAATAATAATAATAATAATAATAATAATAATAATAATAATAATAATAA